CGATAGATATAGATATGAATATTATTATTGCAGCTTTCTGTTTTATTCTAGAGAAAAAATCAGAACGTGTAGATATAGGTACGTTTTGTATATAATTAGATTGAAGTGTAGCACCTGTAGCACAAACATGAAGCCAAGTATAAATAATTTAGTTTAGAGGTAGATAAAAATAGTTTTTGTTCCGATTAAATACTCCCAAGAGATAAAACAGGAATCATATTCTACGCTGACAAATTCGCGGGCAACAGCTAGTATAAGATAAATTGCAAGTCAAGCATAGTTTAGATACAAAGTGCAGTAACATATAATAATCACGGAACAATTAGTTTCGATTTCCGGGTCGGGCAAAATATTACTGGGTCTTTAAAAAAAATCTCAGTAGTAGCACGGAGTCTGGAATTGCGCCCAGTATATGGCAATAGGCTCACCCCCTATTACATGGGACTCATAACATAAATAGTGAAAAGTGAGTGTTACATTGTGCAGCGGCATTAAGTGCCGTAATGTGCACCTCTGCCTACCCTTTACGGGATAAAAGGCGTGATGTTATGTTATGTTATGGAATAGTTAGCAGTGACAATTGAAACTATATAGGTGAAGGTGCATATGTGAATTTTTTCGGAGAAGTTCTAACGGTAAATGTTTTTAAAAACAAAGTTTATTATATTTTCCTTTACATAACTTTGTGACCTGAAAACAAAACGTTTTATATTCTGCGCACACTACTTATGCTAATTCTTTGAGCTTAAGCTTTGAACTGTTAACCTTACACTGCAGTTTATAAAGCCGACGTATTTCTAACCGCAGTGTTTGTAGGGGAGGCTAATATAATGCTTGAACATTTGTTTTTAATAAATGATGTAACACCTTTTTATTAGTATTTTAAATTAGACATCTATGACAAGGATTGGCCGCAAAAAGCTTTGCCTTTGCCCTGCAGTGGGACGATCATGGCTGAAAATAAATAAATAAATAACACCTTTTTAGTTTGTAATCTAATAAAATTGTAGGAAGGTAAGAATTGTACCTACATTAAATATTTTATTAAAAAAATGATTGGGGCGTGATCTTCAATCGATATCGAAGTCAAAAACATGATTTATACAATTTTTGTCTGTTTGTCTGTATGTATGTTCGGGCTAAACTCAGAAAGTACTGTTTGGATTTACTTCAAAATTTGTAAGAATATTATTCTTCTGCGAACTAATCCAAATACATACGCAATGAAAGCGATGTTTGTTTGGTGAGGTTTCACTAGGCAAATAATATCAAACCCTTTTTATTTTTCGGAATCTAACTTTTTCCGGGAAAATTTTTGCACACAACACGCAGTAGCTAAGTTTGTTACTGGAAAAAGACAATACATGCAGTAAATATTTCAATTATTTCAATTTAATTTTTTTAGGAACTGATGCTCGTTGGGTTGTCGTTTTTTGGAATGGAGACCGCGTCTAGGCAAACGTAGTGTAGGGCGCCCCCCAGGCAGGTGGAGTGACGAACGATATTCGTAAATTGGCTGGCAGTGGTTGGATGCGTAGAGCTGAAGATTGAGCTCAGTGGCGTGCCATTGGAGATGTTTGTGTCCAGCAATGGACGAAAACAGGCTGTTGATGAATGAAAAAAGGAACGAGACGGTTTTTAGTCAGAGTAGAGTCTGACATTCCTTTTCGTCTCACCCGGCGGGAGAAGTTGTTGGATGATTTCTCCCCCTCAAAAAAAAAGGTCCCTACCCAATATTAAAAACGGGGTCCTCTTGTTAAGACTCCATCATCTATCGGTCTATCTTCTTTGATGGTAGCTGGGCAGTTGTAAAAAAGTTTTTAAGTGTGGGAAAGCCATGCTTTGGCACGAATGGGCCGGCTCGACCGGAGTGATACCACGGCCTCATAGAAAACCGACGTAAAGTAACGCTTGCGTTACATTTCCTCGTGTAAGTGAGGTTACCGGAGGCCCAATTACCCTCCCCTTCACCAATCTCCCCAATCCCTGAATCCCCAACGACCCTCAAACTCCTAATCCCCAAAAGGCCGGTAACGCACTTGTAACACCTCTGGTGTTCCGGGTGTCCATGGGCGACGCCGATTGCTTACCATCAGGTGATCCGTCTGATCGCTTAGCGGCTTGTTCCATAAAAAAAATGTCTCAAACAAAAATTTGTCGTACTAAAATAGAATATAATATTTTTATTGAGTACGGGACCTTCCGTGGGCGAGTCCAACTCACACTTAGCTGTTCTTCTTAATAACAAAACGATAGTAGTAATTATTTCTATCTGGCAAATATTTAGAGAGCTTTGACGAGTTCTACTATATTTAATTCTCTTTCGTGATTCGCTCATTTTGCTTCAGTTATAATTAGGCTTTATTTAAAGATAGTCTGTTTAAATACTTCGTTATAGTATTGTTTCATTTATTAATAAATATTAGAATACTAGCTTTTATCAGTGGTTTTACTCGCGTTAATTTCTATTGATAGCCTAGCTATTAGTACCTATGTATGTCCTTCTTCTATTCTATATTACATATATAAGTTAGCACAATACATGCAAAATTTCCAGAAGTTAGGTAACAGTTAGTAACAGATCTTTTGTATTTAGCTAGTGGTTTCTTTTTACTAGATACTATATCGGTTTGAACATGATAACATTAACTTTGTTTGTTGAATGGTTAGTATTAAGCAGGATTACCTACCCTTATTTTTAAATTAGTTGAAGTTTAATATTGCAAACAAAACCTTTGAAATGAATAGTAAATTTCTACTCTAATGCAATGTGGGAGAGCCAAGATTCGGCACGAATCGACCGGCTCGACCGGAGTGATACCACGGCCTCACAGAAAACCGACGTGAAACAACGCTTACGTTGTGTTTCGTCATGTGAGTTACCGTTGCCGGACGCCCAATAACCCCCTTTTCCAATTTCTCCAATTCCTGACTCCCCAACAATGCTCAACGTCCCCAACGTCTCTGGTGTTCCAGGTGTCCATGAGCGACGTCGGTTGCCTACCATCAGGTGATCCGACTGCTCGTTTACAGTTTTATTCCATAAAAAGAAATAAAAAAAGGAAATAAATTTTTATGGTTATTTTAGTTATTATTTGATTTATGCTATTCAGAACCATTAAAATTATTAATAGAATTTGTAACGTTAAAAATATCCACCTATATGAGGAATTAATTAAGTCTTACTTCAAATGAAACGTTATCCTCATCAAATTAAACAAATCATTCGAACAATCCAGAACTTGTTTATAAGTAAATTACATTTTCAGTTTCCAATTAATTTAACTCGTAAAATATTTATATGTTTACCCTAGAGTTAATTATATTTTTCGCGTCAGTTCTATGAAACATTCACACCTGAACGAGCACTCGATTAATTAATGTAATTTTGTTAATAAAACTTGTAGGCTTCATTCGCTTATTTATATTAAAGTAATACAATTTAATTACCTGCAGTACATATTTTGGTGTCAATGAAACGAAATATTTCTCTTTTTATTTTCAAACTGTTATTTAAAGGAAGGAAGGACGGAAAGGCTCTTTCCTAATTTTCGGGTAAACCGAAGTAACAATCAAATGCTTGTAATGAGAATGGGTTCAATAAAACAACGGGCAAGGCTGAAATTCACGATCTCTCGATACCCAATTGCGGGTACCCGAATGTAAAGACTTTTTTGTTCAGTGAGAAAACATAAATTCAATCTTACAGCACAAGTTGATTATGTAGCCGATCAATTGTCTCGGGAGATGATATAGGAAAGTAAGTTAAAGTGGAAAGTAGACAGCCGCCATTTTATTGCGGCAAATCGACGAATACAGAGAACGCTGTGTAAGCAAGGAAAATGCCGAACGGGTGAGCATTACTTTTCCTCTACATGAATGCCAGCAAACTCACGGCCTTTACAAATTCTACTGCAGAAAACCATTTGATTTGACTTTTCACAGATATCTCTGTCATTACAAATGAATGGGGAAAAATAATGGAAGCGCCTCCATTTTTTTAATTGAATCGTTTTGTGGTACGGGCTAAAAAGTGAAAAATTTATTTAATCTCAGCCCCGCATTAGCCGAATTGAACGAAAATATTCGGCGTTCCGAAATCCCGCACGAAGCCATTAATCGTTTTGATGTCACAGTATGGGACATTTAGTGTGACCCTTTTTATGCGCCAACCTTTCCCGATTTACGTCCCTAATCGCCGAATACCGAACGCCGAAAACTGAAACTCAGGCGTTCATATGTTGGTCGCGTTAAAGCGGTGCCAGTTCATTGTGAAGGATTATACAAATGATGTTTTGGAACATGAGCTACTGTATTTGTTTTACAAATCGCCATTTCGCCACTTCTATGCTTTTGCAGATTTAGACTCGACCCTCCAGTAGGTGTATTTTTGTTTGTTATCGTACGCAAACCTACTATTTGCTAGAACGTCAAATGTATTTACAAGAATTTATTATTGTCAGCGTTTCAGAGTATTTGTTGTGAATATTGGAAAAATGCTTATACATTAGTTATGTTTACATCAAGATTAAAATGAAATGAAGTACCTATTACTTACGGCAAACAAAGTAGTTCGCAGCGATTTTTGATACGGACGCAGAGATTTATTTAATGAAAGTAGATCAATTGCTATAGAATTCAGTAGCATCAGCAATTTCACCACTTTTGTTTGTGCAAGCCTGACCCAATTTAAAGCAATTTGAAAGGCCAATTCGACCTGTACCTATTTCTTCTGATTGTATTTGGCTATCGTTGAATATAAAGCTGATTCAACTGTTCGCTGTATTGTTTATCAAGAGCCCTTGCAAAGTGTCAGTTAATTTATTCTAGTAATTGTGAACTGGGTGGATGGCCTTTGTTTAAAAGGTGAAGAGCCATTTAATGTTGTTGATAAGTACCTAGGAGGTACACGTGTTTCTTTCTTTCTTCTTTAACAGTTTTTTGTCGTAGTTTTTAGTGTTTATAATAGTAATTTGATTGTAAATGTTGTTTGTTAACAGGTCAACTGCAAGGATCGGGCTACAGTGAGCAAGAGCCTGAGTTTCTGTCGCCACTAGAAAACCTGACAGTGGCACAGGGCAGAGATGTACACTTCACGTGTACTGTCAACCATCTTGGCACTTATAAGGTGAGATACTTTTTCTTCAATATGTTGGTTCTTATACTAATAAGACAACAACAATCGCAACAACAACAATCGATGTATGATCGCATCTACGATCGATATTATAATCGAAGACTCGATCCTGTGTAAGTAATTGTAGGTGCTATTACGTGCATCATGCTAAGTATTCAAATAGTTTACCTGACTTCTACAATTCGGTCACAGATATGAAATAGTGTAGAACCTTTCTTGTAGAAACTATAGTTATGCATAAAACCTACTTTTTGGCGAGCGACGAGCACAATGTTACCAGTGTAACACTATCTTTAACATTAAGCTACTTAGCAATGAGTAACAATCTTTATGTGCAAACTAGTAATATCTAGTTATCAAGAAAGTTTACTCCATTTGAACAATCTTACATACATATATATATGTGTATTATAATACACACATATTAAAGTATTGTGTTAATGTGAATTGTCATTGCTGTTTATCAAACCACAAAGTTTAATAACTGGAGCCGTGAACTGAGAACTAAATATGTATTTACCAACTTATAGTTTAAAGTAGTTTGCCCTATTTCATGTTGACTCAATATTTTGTGGGACAAAATTCTTGTCACACTCATACAGAGGGTGTTGAATAAATGTATTGTTATTGATTCTTTAGAAAGTGGAAGTTCGGTTATTTCTTTCCGTAGAAAATTGGGTAAGGTTTTTCGATGTTATAGATGTTAGCGTGTTTAGTGAACCATAGTTATAATGTTATGTATTCTAGTGCTTTTCAAATTCGAAAATTCTTAATGTTACTGACAAGTCTATTAGGTACTAGTTATTAAGCTTAATTAAAGTTAATTAATCGCGCGGTCGCGGCGATGTTAGTAGGCTGCGTGACCTTGCCACGACTGCACACGCTACTCATGAGGAAGAGCCCCTCTGTGGCTCGAAACTAGTAGAGCTTTTCTTAGTATATTCAAGTGAGTAACCCGCGATATTTAGTTAATTTACTCTTTTTACGATAGTTATTATAAAAACATATTAAACTTACTTCTAATAACATGAGACATTAACCGTAGCTGGCTGGGACGCGTGTAGGGGTGGATTTTGAGTAGTTAAATTCATGCAAGAATAACATTCAACTGTAATTATGTGACTACGAAGTTTTAAGTTCAGTTGATTATTTGCTATTTTACAAGCGCATTGACCTTTTAAAACGCGATTACAATTGTCTGTCCCACGTCGATTTCTTACTACATATTCGAATAGTACCACGGCCATTTATTTTTGTTTTATAATACTGAGAAACTTATAACACCAATCTGCACGAGGAGTTAAAATGCTATATAGCGAATTTAGTTGCTCGTTTCAAAGCGCACATTTCTATTAAAAAAGTAGTCGTTGAACTATTTCCATTTCGATCGATTATTTTTTTCTCGCTTCGCCGTACCATTGGGAATAGATGATGCTGTATTGGAAATATGTAAATATGGAAAATTACTGAGAAACTAGACTGCATAGCTTGCATCGAACTTACATAGAATTATGTTCATAAATGAGGAATATTTTAATGTATTGGTATTATTCAGATCTGGTGCTGCTACTGAGAATTTTCGAAATACCAAAAAAATTGACTTTTATCTTGCTTATGATCGGTTGTGTCACTAGTCTGTTTGAAATATGGATGATTCCATTATTAATCTATTTATGTCCTCCGCTAGACAATGGCTTTTCCAATAGCAGAACACTTCGATATTCATCCATTACTGCGAATTTTGGAGTATAAAATACAGTCAGACCTGAGGATTAAAACATAACATAACATCACCCCTTTTATACTCGAAGGGGTAGGCAGAGGTGTAAATTATGCCACTGTACAAATGTAACACCCACTTTTCACTATTTATGTTATGAGTCCCATGTAATAGACAGTGAGCCTATTGCCATATACCGGTCACAATTCCAAACTCCGTGCTACTACTGTGAATTAAAAAAAAAGCCAGTAATAGTTTGTCCGACCCGGAAATCGAACCCGAGACCCCTTGCCCGGCAGTCGCACTTGCGACCACTCGGCCAACGAGGCAGTCACTACCTGAGAATTGAACTCGATAATTTTTATTATTTATAACAACTTAATCAAAATTAGTACTATTATTTATTATCTTTTTTTCGCAGGTGGCCTGGATAAAATCAGACACGAAGACGATCCTAGCGATCCACACACACATGGTGACGTTGAATCCTCGTCTGTCAGTCACCCATAATGGCCATAACACTTGGAAGCTTTACATCAGTAATGTGGAGCCTAAGGACTCTGGCACCTACATGTGTCAGATAAATACAGACCCTATGATGAGTCAGGTAAGTTATAAAATCCTTTAATCGTTCGTTTTTGTTAATGTTTCTAAAAGTTTTTAATTACATCGTACATCACAATTAATTGTTGTATGGACGTCTATAGCGGTTGTTTGGCTCGTTGGAAACCCTCGTTGGTAGTGTCTCACTTTGCTGGTTGCAGAAGGAAGATGAAAGTCGTTTTTCTAAAATACGTACATATGTGGTATTCAGCCGAATCTAGTTAAGATAAATATCTTAGGCAGCAATGAGTCTAAATAGACTCATTGCTGCCTATATCAAGTTTCGTAAACGCCAACAGAATTATCATAATTTTGTATTATGCTATACATGCATTAAACTGTCTAACACCAAGCGGTCACCGGTGACCGCAACCTACTGTTCTATAATTGTGTCTACAAAACCGGTACTCGACGAGTTAAAAATGCAATAAAAAGACTGCCTCGTCGGCCGAGTGGTCGCAAGTGCGACTGCCGAGCAAGGGGTCTCGGGTTCGATTCCCGGGTCTGGGAAAGTAACACTGGGATTTTTTAAAATCTCAGTAGTAGTAGTACGGATTGTGTCCGGTACATGGCAATAGGCTCACCCCCTATTATATGGGACTCATAGCATAAATAGTGAAAAGTGGGTGTTACATTGTAATGGCATAATGTACACCTCTGCCTACCCCTTCGGGTATAAAAGCCGTGATGTTATGTATGCAATAAAACAAATGCAGTCTTTACGTATCTCACCAAAATCCCATAAAATAAATTATTACGAAATTTTCAGTTACAAAACATGACGTTGAACATAATAATACAAAGGTTTGGTTGTAGGATTTGAATTTGAACTTTATGTTTGTACATTGTTAGTCTGTTTTCGTAAACCCACAGTACGAGACCATTTCTAATTAAAACAATGTTGCAGTTTGGCTGGCTTGTGATTTCCATACACATAATACTAGATCTGCATCGTGTGCATATAAATAGAAACATGTTTATTAGACATGGTGGAAATAATACACGATTTTCACACGTATGTACTAATTAATAAGGTATACGCCTATTCAGCAAACAATACATAATTTCCCGGCTTTACCGGAAATAATTATACTAAACCAAGCATTCATTATAGAGTACAAGCAAATCATTGAATTGTGTAATAATATTATTACAGCCATTGTTAAGTCATGAGTAAATAATTGTTTTGAATATAATACCTTCGTCATATAGCATTTCATCATTTACATTAATTCATAGTTTAATTAGTGCATCGTTACTTATAATAATGGATAGTAATTACCGTTTAAATGTAAGAGCAGACGGTTTATATTAAAATCTATGCAATCGATGCGGATCGTCAGCTTGCATGCTATGTCACGTGCCGAACGTTTCATCTGATAAATTAAATTCGTATTCTTTGTATAAAGATTGTACATTTTATACATATTCTGTACAAGCACGGGAAGCGTCTGTTGCATGTTATTTTGGCTGACTTTTTAGTGATTTAACAAACGGCGTAAAGCTGGCTTTTGTACTATGGATATTTTTTGCTGCACGCTGCCCTCAGCTATGACCGCATTTTCCGGAATGAAATATATTCGTTGTGCTAATCCTAGATACGCTTCAGCGTTGCACTGAAATGTTATCCAATTCTGTGATTAGCTAACTGGGTGCGGTTTTGTGTTATACAATCTGGTTTTTAGCCACAGTTTGTTAGAATAAAATTTGAGTAAAACATTTTTTTTTTTACTAATATTGAGGGATTTATATCGTGGCTTTGAGTTTGTAACTAAATTGTTTTTATGATATTAACATCTAGAAGGCGTAGAGTTATTTCTGAAATTTCGCTGCAGATAGACATGAGAACTTTGCAGACGTTTACAGACATTTTCGAAGGGGGAAATATCCCCCATTTCGTGTTCACTTTGATTTTCCTGTTCCCCTTTTGTTGGATTGATTGACGCCAATCTATTGTCGCGAGTCTATTGCAGAAAAACTTGGCATATATTTGACACGTCTTGTGTTACAAAGGAACATATTTGTACTACGGTAAAAATTATCTGTTTACACGTAATATTACGTTTAACAATATTATGTTTGTCCTTCAAAATAATTTTTTTCATTAGCACATATTCATCAAACGATTTAGTAAAGTAAGTGCGCATCATTTATCAAACTATTAAAAGCGTCATGGCGTATAAAATAGCATTTTCAATAACGTTTATATCGCTTTAGGGCTAGTGTATCGGAAATATTGACTAAATTGACAGATTAATGATCTATCAATTCTAAGATAAGAATCTCGGACGGTTCTGCTTGGCTAGACACGCCGATGTATCTCGATGAGACATCGATACCTACGCGACTCGATTATACTCGTCTATGAAGGTTACACAGTTTCGAAGGAAATTCATATTGAGTAGTGAATTGTAAAGATATGGTTCGAGTTGATGGAAGATAAGTTTTGTTTTGTTAGATTAAGGATTGTATGTTTGAATAGGAGAACAAATAATGATGGGTTGTCGATATTCTAGAAAATGTTCTGTAATATGATCTTGTAAAAATAACAATAACTATTGATATATTCAACATCAAACTATGAAGTACTAGTTCATAGTTTATGTAAAGAAATCCTTTGTACGCCAAAATATAGCAGATATTCCAAATAACTAAAACATTTTTAATCACTATGCATACTCTCATGTTCCTTAACTATATCATCATAAAGGCTACATTCCTAAACACGGTGTGTCAAAGTGTAGACAAAATTGTTACGGCGAGGCATCATTCCTGGCGCGCCGGTGATGGAGTAACTTTCGTACAATATTATTATAACCAAGGCACTAGCTTACCTAAGCCAGGCAATACCATGTGATATTTTACTGCGAAAACGTCCATCGAATGTTGTGTTTAAAGCTTTTTAGATATACATTTTTATACAAGGTATATTTTACTATAGAACTATGAAAATTGAAATCACACATTTGTAATGTATTTAAAAGTTTGTTATAATCTCCTCAATTGGCTGGAATATTCTGCCTCTGGCAAGTGAGAATACGTACCTATATGTCTAGTTCCGATTTCAGAGAAAACGTAGGCGTAACCTTTTACTAATTATATTACTCTCAAAATTGCTTATCTAAGAGATTTTAAACGAATACTGTTTGAATTGAAAGTAAAAATAGAATAGTACTATATTCTATTTTTGCTTTCTACGAGTAAATTATATGCTTAGAACGATTAATTATACTTCACTAGCTACTTCCGCGCGGTTTCACACGCTCTGCTCAGCTCCTATTGGTCATAGCATAATATTTTATAGCCTATAGTCACTTTCGATAAATGAGCTATCCAACACAAAAATTATTATTCAAATTAGACTTGTAGTTACGGATTCAATCAAACAAACAAAAAAACAAACTCCGCTTTATAGGTATAATAGGTAGTATAAGATAAGATTTGAATAAGTCTGTAGCTTCTGTAGGTAATTCTTTAATTAGCATTCCAGGAAAAATACACACAGAATGCTTTCTTGTTTCATCAAATCATTAGATGCAAAGAAAAAATCAAGTTTAAAACGCGAAAATGTTTTTCTATGCGAAGTTTGTTTTAGAAAAGAAGTAAAAGTCTAGCTGGAAAGTATAATATGCTAACAGAATCCCCTGTATTATTACAAAGAGAAAACGTGTAGACTAGCATATGAGAACAGTTGTACGGCTATACTTCGCTCTTATTTACTACAAAGGGTTGTATTGGATACTGTGTTCATGAATTTCAATTTTAAATTTTCTTCTTGATATTGCGTTAGTGTTATTAAAACGGCTATTCGAAAATTGTAATAAAAATGTCCTATGAATTGTTGTAAAAATGGCTGATGAATGGAAATCGCTGACTTTAGAAAAGTAATTCTTGGGTACCTACCCGTAGGTACTTATACATATAAGTGCTTGCTTTAATTTTCAAGAAATGAAAGCCATATTGCAATCTTTTCAATTTCAGTGCATTAAATTAATAACTTAAATGGTAGTATGGTAGATTATTATTGACTGTATTTTTTTTTATTATGACATAATTATCTAAATGGCAATTTTTTTTAAACTTTATCCTACACTTGGATTCTCTTGTGTCATGGGTGCGTTTACAGACATTAAATTTCATATACACAAGTTGGGGTTTTCACCCATTTTTGGTCAGGGATACAAAGGCATTACATTATTCTATATCACATATTCTGTTTGTATTCTATAGAAAACCCCAAATATCTTGTTACGGTATAAGGAAATCCTCACAATAAGGTGTCATGGAGTACTGTTCTCTACATTAAGTGCTTGACCCAATCACTTAACGAGTGCTCTCAAGGCGTTTATCGACCCTATCCGGTAACAGGATATCAGAAATGATATAATTTGTATGTTAGGTAACGCGTTATTATGAATATTGGTTGCAAATACTGACTCGTTTCTTAGGTTATAGTCATCATTAGCTGGACGATGTTTACTGCTGCATACAGTCTTCTCCACTGTATGGACTCTGCCATAACCCTACGGTTGTCAAATGGTTTGGCAGTTAGGTTATCAACAATTTTAAGAATGAGGCCGCCCAACAGTACCACTTGGTTCAGTAAAAATTACACAATAATTCTTGTACTACGCTTATAGAAACCGGCTTCAACTCCTCCCTCTCTCTTCCCTCCTTTTTGAAGTTGATCGATATACTTAAACCTTCCCCTAGTGTAAAAAACACTTTTCTGTAAACCACATCAAAATCGGTTCAGCCAATCGCGAGATTATTGCGCACAGACATACATACATAAAGGTCGAACTGAGAATCTCCTTCGGTTTTCTAAGTCAGTTAAAAACTAATCGTGGTCCACTTAATCACATCTCTAAGAACAGAGATTCCATTTTAGGGGTGGGAGGTAGCTACGTCATTTCAGAGTATAAATTGTACTCAAAAGTGAATAGTCTTCGAAACTATTCGTTTCCAAAAGAAAAAAAAATACGTATCTAATGTTTTTAAATA